TTTTAGATTCTCAACTGATTCATTTTACATCTCTAGTATAAACATGTCATAGTGGTCTAAAGGAAATATAATCACCTTTTGATTTTAATACTTCATGGCTTAATTATCAATTTCCTAGTCTTTTTATCATACAAGCCATTCTTGATTATCTTACGGCATTTATTGCTTATATTATAAGCTTAAGGCTTAATCGCCATGACAACATTAACTAAATTAAGTTTTCTAATATAATTTTAAAGTAAAGACTTAAGATGATCATCCGAAATAATAGATAAGACTTATTTATAAGTATAAAAATCAACAATATAAATTGAGAAAATGTCATTGTGATTTCCCCTGGAAAGAAGCAGAATTTAAACAAGCCACGTGTTTACTGTTTAGTCTGTCCTGCACCTCCTGGTTAGTGAGTATAATGTGGTTTTGTGTACATGGACAAAAATTACTGGCATTCATTCAGTGTCTATTCTAGGAATTGAAAAATAGGGGTGATTCCCCCCCCTCCATTTCAAAAAAGGGGGCGATTTTCAAAATCAAAGGGTGCCAATATAACTGCCAATGTTAAATCGTCTGCATTAAGTTTACACCGATGAAATAATTAAAACGATAATATTTATTTAAGGCAGCAGAAGTTGTCCCCCCTGAATTTTTAAACGAAAACAAATTATTACAGAACTGCCGCGATTGATTATAAAGGGATTAGCAATACAAATAATCGAACTATCTTTCACGTATAGATCGTAGCCAAGCTAGGAATTGCCTCATTTTTCTTGATTATTTACTACACTAAAATGGCGCCCAACTGTCAGACCTAGCACACTAGTTCCGGTCGATACGGAACATTCCGTCAATTTCCGTCAACTCACGTAACCAGTACCATACGGTACTAAATTATTATAATTAGCTTACAGTTACCTCCCTTCGGTTTTCGGTGTAAATGTAAACAAAACAACCAAATATAATGCGGGATGGAAGTTTTACGGTTTTATTAACTTTTTTTATAGATGCGCGATTTTCACGCACATGATTTTGAATTGTGCGCGATCTGTTAAATACTAGCATGAATCGCGCAATCGCGCGTCCTAGAATAGACACTGTTCATTTATGCTGAAGTCCAAGGGTTAATGGTTTGATATCTTAAAGCAGGCACTCTATTCTCAAGGTTAGAGATCATTGGGGAGGGGGGAGGGGGGATCATAATTGACTCTCTTCAAAAGTAATGTATCATTTTTGTGTCGCCTCTACGCAGTAGTGGCGACATAAAGGGATCACTTCTCCATGGTCTGTCCGTCTGTCCGTCCGTCCGTAACAAAACTTGTCCGGACTACTCCTCATAAACTACTGGTGCAATTTCATCCAAACTTTACAGGAATGATCAGTACCAAGTCTAGTTGTGCATATTGTCAGCATTTTCCGGTTCAATGATTTTTGTCAGAGTTATGGCCCTTTAATAATTTTTAATTTTAAAGTTTGTCCAGACTACTTCTCTTATACCACTAATGCAATTTCAATGAAACTTTACAGGATTGATCTGTAGCTCAAGTCCTTGCGCATATTGCACGGGTTTTCCGGTTGAATGATTTTTGGCCGAGTTATGGCCCTTTGACAAAAAGGTGTTTTTTTTCTGTGTGTTGCCAAATACACAAAAGCTTGTCCGGACTACTGCTCATAAACTACTGGTGCAATTTCATCCAAACTTTACAGGAATGATCAGTACCAAGTCTAGTTGTGCATATTGTCAGCTTTTTCCGGTTCAATGATTTTTGTCAGAGTTATGGCCCTTTAATAATTTTAATTTTAAAGTTTGTCCGGACTACTTCTCTTATACCACTAATGCAATTTCAATGAAACTTTACAGGATTGATCTGTAGCTCAAGTCCTTGTGCATATTGCACAGGTTTTCCGGTTGAATGATTTTTGGCCGAGTTATGGCCCTTTGATAAAAAGGTGTTTTTTTCTTTGTGTTGCCAGATACGCAAAAGCTTGTCCGGACTACTCCTCATAAACTACTGCAATTTTATCCAAACTTTACAGGAATGATCAGTACCAAGTCTAGTTGTGCACTGTCCGTCTGTCTGTCCGTCTGTCACAAAATTTGTCCCAACATGAAATTGGCCATCATGAGGCGACACATGTGATTACTGATCGCTCTTGTTAAATTTTGAATATTCTGAGTTCTTACTAATTTCAAGAATTGTAAACATAGTATATTTATAATAAAAATACATTAGTAGTTACATATACATAGAGATGTGTAGTCAAATCTTTGTCATTCATGTTTTGTTTGCCTTGTCGAGCCTGCTACCAGAGGGCTCCACATAGTTGTCTCAATAGCGGTTCAGTGTATTTAAGTGCATGTGTCCTTTTGGATTATGCATGTCCGGGCCCTAACTCTGTCATTTGTTTGCATAATTTCAAATAAACTTGCACAAATGTTCACACTGTGTCGCGCGCAAGAACCTTGTGGCTAAGTCCAAGGTCAACTTGTCACACTTTAAGGTCAAATGCAAAAATTGGCCTCAAACAGCTTTTCCGCACCATAACTCTTATCACTAGCTTGTTGAATTTCAAATAATCTCAAATAATCTGGCAAGAATGTTCAACATCATGAGATTGTGTATCGTGCACTTAGAACCATGTGGCTAGTCCAAAGGTAAATACTTTAAGGTCAAATGTAAAAAAATGGTCTCAAACAGCTTGTCCGCATCTTAACTCTGTCACTAGCTAGTGGAATTTTAAATACCCTAGCACAAATGTTCAACATCATGAAATGGAGGTTGCCCTCAAGAATGTGTGGCTTGGTCAAAGATCAAGGCCATACTTTAAGGTCAAATGCAAAAAAATGGTCTCAAACACACCATAACTATCACTAGATTGTGGAATTTCAAATAACCTGGCATGTCGCATGCAAGAGCTGTGTGGCTAGGTCAAAGGTCCTCCATTAAGGTGAAATGCAAAAAATGGTCTCAAAAAGCTTGTCAGCACCATAACTCTATCACTACTGGTGGAATTGCATATAACCTGGCAAAAATTTTCAACATCATGAACCTGAGACATCATGAGATGGGGGTGTCGCGCGCTTGAACCATGTGGCTATGTCAATGATCAAGGTCATACTTTAAGGTCAAATGCAAAAATACTGGTTTTAAAAGTTTGTCTGCACCATAACTCTCTGCACCATAACTCTATCACTACATTTGTAGCTGGTGGAATTTCAAATAACCTGGCACAAATGTTCAATACCAAGAGATGGCTCTTACACAGAAGTTATATTTGACTAGGTCAAAGCTCAAGGTCATTATATCGAGTCAGATGTTTCCTTGCCTAGTATTCAAAGTAAGGGGGCTTGACAATTGCCCTAAGGAATCTAGTTTTAAATAATTTGGCACATTGAGAATATGAGAAAGTATCTGTTAATGTTTTTGTACCCCACCTTTTTGAAGAAAAATGGGGGATATAGAAATAGGCTACGTCTGTTTGCACTACTGAATAAGGATAGTGGGCCATTTAACTGTTAACAGAACAAAAAAGAACAATAGAATTCATTCCGTTACAATAGAATAAGGAGCCATGTCCCTCTATTAAACAAAAGAAAAATAACAAATGGTCCTTTGTCTCTATTTGGTTGGACGTCCGTCCGGTTGTCACACTTTTGTGTCCAGTCCATAACGGTCATTTATCAAAGGAATTTGAAATTACTTGGCACAAATATTTATTATAATAAGTTGATGTATCATGCACAACAACCAGACCATTACCTCCAGGGTCAAGGTGGCACTTGCTCATTCAAGGTCAAGATTGTCTATTTGAGGGTGTATGTCGTGTCTGGTCTATTACTTTCTTATCTTTGAAGGGATCTTGTAAATACTTGCCACAATTGTTCACAATATTGAGACGATGTGTCATGCGCAATAACAGGTCACCTCTCTCCAAGGTCAAGGTCACTCTTGGAGTTCAAAGATTAACATAGTCTGTTATAAGGTATATTTTGTGTCTGGTCCATAACTTTTTCATACATCAAAGGGTTTTGAAAATACTTGGCACAAATAGCCACTATAGTGAGATGATGTGTCATGTGCAACACCTGCATCCCTACCTCCAAGGTCAAGGTCACACTTAGAGGTCAAAAATAAACATAGTCTGTTACAGGGAATATTTTGTGTCGGATCTAGAACTTCTTCATAGTTCATGGGATTTTGAAATATATTTAATGATCCATAACTTCTTTATAGATCAAGGGATTTTGAAAATACTTGGCACAAGTAATCACAATGATAAGATGATGTGTCATGCGTTATTCCTGTGTCCCTACCTCCAATGTCAAGGTCACACTTAGAGGTCAAAGATTAACATGTTATAGTGTATATTTTGTGTCCAGTCCATAGACCAAGGGATTTTAAAAATACTTTGCACAAATAATCACAATATAAAGACGATATGTCAGGTACAAAACATGGGTCCCTACCTCCGAGTCACACTTAGAGATCAAAGATTAACATAGTCTGTTATAGGGTATATTTTGTGTCCGATCTATAACTTCTTTATAGTTGGGATCTTAAATAATACTAGGCACGAAAAATTACAATAATAAGACAATATGTCATGCACAACACCTGCACCTTTACCTCCAAGGTCAAGGTCACACTTAGAGGTCAAAGCTCAACATGATAGATTTTTAAATTCTGTGTTTCATTTTATTTCTTTAATAAAATTATTGTTGCATTAATTTTGCAGATCTAGCATTGATCACAATTTTGGACTGAAAGTCCTATGATCCATACCTCAATCTTTTGAAATAGTGCAAATTTATGCTTCATATAGAACTTCCCTGAGGCGGGGGACGTTGGTATTTCTGTTACAAATTCTTGTTATATTATTGTTACACTCTTTTTGTAGTAACCATTCCTGTATTGTATGTCAAAGGTCATGAATGGTTTTCTCCTGGGTCCTTTGTTTTGTTTTGGAATATAATATATATCATTGTGTGGGTTTGTGTTTTTCAGATACAAATAAAGTTCTGCATAAACAGTTGAGGGATGAATCTTTGGAAGAAGGACAATGGGCAACAATATTTGCAACTCACGTAATAAGAAAGCTTGCAGTCTACAGTGAGATGATAGTTGATTCTAGTAGTTCAGGCGTAACATTAGATTCAAGTAGTTCAGACTTAGCAGAATGTCCTTGTGAATGTAAAACAGTAATAAAAATTGGCGACAATAGCATGGGTAATTAATTCTTTTTTTTTATGTTATGAAGCTACAAGAATATAACTAGAAATGTGTCCATAGGATAAGTGTTTTTTTCTGCTGACTTGGTAAGGTGAGGTATAATGACTGGGCTAGAGTCCAGCGTCGTTGGTCGTCAACATTTTGGTTGTTAACACTCTAGCAGTCACAGTTTTGATTGGATCATAATCAAACTTTGTCAGAATGTTTGTCTCAATGAAATAAAGGTCAAGTTGGAATATGGGACAAAAACTAGGTCACAGGAGCTAAAAATAGAAAAATCTTGTAAATGCTCAAGTGGCTGCAGTTTTGATCCAAATATCCTGGAAATTGATCAAAAAGGTTGTCTTGATGATTTTTAGGTCAAGTTCAAATATGGGTCATCTGGTCAAAACCATGTCACAGGAGCTAAAATTAGAAAACTCTTGTTACCACTCTAATGACTGCAGTTTTGATCCAAATATTTTGGAAATTGGTCAGGAATATTGTTTTGATTATTCCTAGGTTAGGTTCAAATATAGGTTGTCTCCGGTCAATCAAAAACTAGGTCATAGGAGCTAAAAATAGAAAATCTTGTTAACACTCTAGTGGCTTATGTTTTGTTCCAAATATCCCGGAAATTGATCAGGAAAGTTGTTTTGATGATTTCTAGGTCAAGGTCAATGAAATACATGTCAAGTTCGAATTTTAGACAAAAACTAGGTCACAGAGCTAAAAATAGAAAAATCTTGTTTACACTCAAGTGGCTGCAGTTTTGATAGAAATATTCTTGAAATTAGTCAGGAAGGTGTTTTGATGATTTCTAGGTCAAGTTCGATTATGGGTCACCTGGGGTCAAAAACTAGGTCACAGGAGCTAAAAATAGGAAAATCTTGTTAACACTATTGGCTACATTTTGACTCAATTGTCATCAAACTTGGTCAGGTTGCTTGTTTAAGTAATTGCTTGGATGAGTTCAATGGGTCAGGTGAGCAATCTAGGGCCATTTTTGCCCTCTTGTTTTCAAATTTTGGCATGTTTTCAATTTCTACAGATTTTATTTCTGCAGCACATTCTTTCAACAAAACGTTGTTTAAATTCTGCTACGCATCTTATCAAGGACTTAGTATTAAGTTACATTACTCTACTTATAACATAAATAAATTTGCATGTAACACATTTGCATTTGTTTATCATATTCTCTGCATAATGGTATAGTGATTAATACTGGCGTGCAAACAAATTTAATGCACAACAATAGAAAAGTATGCGTATTTGATAAATGTGAAATGACATGTTAAAAATATACCCCAGTAGTATCATTAATTTTAAAAAGAAATTTAATGTAAGAACATGACAGTGAAAGCATTATGATTCTTTAGCAGTATAAGGGTTAAAATGGTTTTAATGGTAAATAAACTTTTTAGCGTACCGGCAAATACTATATATCATGTTTCAATATCTTTATTCATAAATTGACATAAATAACAATAAGTACATTCTTCCAAACACAGATTACATTAATATTTCGAGTTCATTGATCATGGATTTATACCTCAGTTGAGTTCTTTAAGTATTTTAATTATGGTCATTTATATCTCAGTTGAGTTCCTTAAGTATTTTAATTATGGTCATTGATCATGGATTTATACCTCATTTATAACTCAGTTGAGTTCCTTAAGCATTTTAATTATGGCCATGGATCATGAATTTATACCTCAGTTGAGTTTCTTAAGCATTTTAATTATGGCCATGGATCATGAATTTATACCTCAGTTGAGTTCCTTAAGCATTCTAATTATGGTAATGGATTTATACCTCAGTTGAGTTCCTTAAGCATTTTAATTATGGCCATGGATCATGAATTTATACCTCAGTTGAGTTCCTTAAGCATTTTAATTATGGTCATGGATCATGCATTTGTTCACATTAACTTTTATCCTATGGGACACCAACTACCAGTGCAGACTATGATCAGCAGGCACATCTGAGCCCTCTGATCATGGTCTGCACTGTTAGGTTTTTAGTCAGTAGATATTTTGAAATTTGCCCAAAAATAATGAAAGGTTTTGTCCATATTACAAGATGGACAAGTCCATTTAAGATATTTAGTGTGGTAAGGCTTTGACTGATAGTATGGCCATTACATAACAAATCAGGTTTAAGTAACATATTAACTTTGGACATGTAGTTTTATATTGGAATTTATTTTTTCAGGTCATGAGAACGTTTGGCATGGTAGTGTAAGCATTGTACTTGGACCACGGACAGCTTCAACTCCTGTATCGTTGGATGATTATGGATTTTCAGAGATTTGTAACTCTGCATTCGATTTTAGGAGTGGGGAACTGGAAAAGTCGCAGAATCAATATATTTCAGAGAGCATAATATTCGCTTTTGCTATGCGGGGCAGAGTTGTTCCATTAGTTGCAATATCAAAAACATGCTTCAAAATTTATATGTACAACAGAGTTAATGATTTACTTTACGAATCGACAACAATGCCATTATTCGTTGAGTCAGTAGATGGGAGAGAACTTAACCAAACATCTCTTATTTTTTTGTGGATGGTCATTAATCAGAGCTACTTCTTTAAAGGTGTACAAACTTCCCATGTAGAGTTTAATTACAAAGCCAATTTACAAGATTTTCTTGGAGAGAAGCGTGACATATATCAAAATCACATACAAATTGGTGGCTTAAGGCATGTTGGAGATAGACTTGTTAAATTTATAGCAGGAATGAATAAAGGAAAGTTTCTAAGATTTTAAAGACCAATGTTTTATCTATAGATTATACCCTGAACAAGTGACTAGTCAAATGCAGGCTTTTTCCCATCTAATGCCATGGTAGGAACAAAGATTTTCATGTATGTTTATGCACTATTGTTCGTGATAGAGTGATCATTGCTGTGCACTTATAATCAATATATTTACAAAGTTATAACTGTAAAAGTTGTTTGTAGCACAAGATAAGATAGGAAAAAACACAAAATTTGTTCTGCTATATCGTATTTGTTGGAAGAATTGAGAAAGGTTCTCCTATCTGATGTACAAATGTATAAGGGTAATAAAAAATGTCGTACAGGCAAGCTTATTGAAGTTATTTTTGTTATAAAGATAAAGTGAATATAATTGATTATATTACTTGAAGAACTATGTGTATTTTTGTTTTATTTTAAGCTTACCAGAGCACAAAATGCTTATTGTAATAATACTCTGATATTGCGATTTGTCCAGCATCCATTGTGCATTGTCCTTCATCAAATTTTCACAGTCATTTAATTTTTTATAACCACTTTAATCACAATCTTTAAAACCACCAAGACCTCTACAAATTTTAAGCTCACCTGTCACAAAGTGACAAGGTGAGCTTATGTGATCACAATTTGTCCACCGTCCATCCTTTGTCCGTCCTTTTACTTTAAACGACATCTCCTCATAAACCACTTAGCCAATTTCATCCAAACTTCACAGGAATGTTCCTTTCGTGGTCACCTTTAAAAATTGTTCAAAGAATTTAATTCCATGCAAAACTCTGGTTGCCATGGCAACCGAAAGAAAAAACTTAAAGACTCTTTTTTTAAAAAAGCCAGAGAGCTAGAGCTTAGATTTATGGCGTGAAAAATCTTCTAGTGAGTGTCTACCAAGCTTGTTCAAATAAAAGCCCTGGGGTTAAATTGACCCTGCCCAGGGGGGGGGGGTCATTGATTTTTATTTTTATGTTTTTAGTAAAAACTTAAAAAATTCCTTTTTTAGAAAATACAAATAGCTAGAGCTTAGATATTTAACATGAAACATCTTCAAGTGAGTATTTACCAAGTTTGTTCAAATAAAAGCCCTGGGGTCAAAATTGGCCCTGCCCCAGGGGTTCATTGATTTTCCTAATATGCAAATAGAAGAAATCCTCTTATAACAAAAAAACCAAGGAGCCAAAGCTTAGATATTTAGCATGAAACATCTTCTAATGTGTGTCTAATAAAAACCCTAGGGTCAAAACTGGCACCACCTTTGGGGGGGTTACTGATTTTCCTTATATGTATGTTACATTGTATAGTAAAAAAACTTAAAACATATTCTTTTAAAAGACACAAATAGCTAGAGCTAAGATATTAAATATGAAACATCTTCTAGTCAGTGTCTACCAAGTTTGTTATCCCCCGCCGATGGAATCAGGAGGGGGATATTTTTTTGGTGTTGTCTGTCCATCTGTCCGTCAAAATTTCATTTCCGGACTAGTTCTCTGCAACTACTGGCTGGAATTCAACGAAACTTTATGGGAATCATCAATATCAATAGGAGATGCGCATATCGTCAGCTTGTTCCAGCCAGACACTTTAACTCAGAGTTATGGCCCTTGATTAGTTATGCAGTATGCATATAGAACAACTTTAATTTCCGCGCTACTTCTATGTAACTGCTGTCTGGAATTCAACAAAAGCTTATGGGAATCATCAATACCAAGAGGAGATGTGCATATAGTTGGCTTGTTCTGGTCATACACTAACTCAGAGTTATTGCCCTTGATTATTTATGCAGTATGCATATAGAGCAAACTTTATGGGAACCTTCAATACAAAGAGCAGATGCACATATCATCGCCTTGTTCCCGTCAGACAAAGGCTCTTGATTAGTTATGCAGTATGGATATATAGAGGATATTTGTTTGTTTGTGTGTAAGATGAAATTTTATTTCATCGAGTGGGCTTTAAAAACAGTATTCTCACGAGTGGCGTAGCCACGAGTGAGAATACTGTTTTTAAAGTTCACGAGATGAAATAAAATTACATCTTACACAACAAACAAACAAATTTTTCTTTTTATTTTATGCTTAAAAACAAGTTAAAACGAAATTTCCTTAATATTTACGTTAATATTAAAATCTGTTTTCCCATTGAGAGCCTCAAAAAAGTCGAATTTCTCATTAAATACAAGAAGTCATGGGCTGAAAAATAAGTTCCACAATCAACGTTAAATGGTGGTGATAGTATTCAGTTTATTAAAAAAATATGTCTGATCGCTTGTTTAAATAATAAAAACAAACAATTCTAGTTGGAGAAAAAGTCCAACCATCCAACCATATTTCTGTTACTGACTGCGAATTTATATTAGACCTTGCTTTGTTAAATGTAAGCGGCCGCCATTTTTAAATTTCACTGGAGGAAAATAATTGTGTTTGATTCAGAGGGATATCATTTGGATTTCTTAGTCATACACCTTTTTAAAAGAAAGAAAACTTATTTGAGGATTGTAACAGACAATAAATAAGTGTTGACAGATGTGTAAATATTCAAAAAAGTTGATAGGAAATTGGAAACTTTGAAAGCCTTATGAACGCTGGGTTTTTTACATATTCTTCAACTGAAAGCTGCCATTGCTTTTCAAGTTTTAAAGTTACTTTTAAAGCATACGGCAGTTATTTCTCGAAGGATACTTAAATATTCCCAAATGTCATCAAGAGCAGTTTTGCATGTGGAAGGAATGATTTTTCAGACTTAAAATGAAACAGAAAATTAAAGAGATTGGTATTTTGAATGAATAGAAGTAACATACTGTAAGTTTTCTTCTTTTTATTACTTTTGACATATAAGTTATTTATCAATTTCACTTTGACATTGTCGGAGTAGTCAGAAAAAATAAAATTGAGGTGCCACATGGGGAAAATCTTAAAAAAGTAGTTTCGTCATTGAAAAGTGTGAAATTATATTTTGATAATTTTCACTGTGAAATTATCAAATATAATTTTCACGGATAAATCAGTAATCCACTGAAAAGCATAAAATAAAGAGCAATAATTGTTTCAGCGCGACTTCTTTGCAACTCCTGGCTGGAATTCAATTAAACTTTATGGGAACCATTAATACCAAGAGGAGATGTGCATATTGTTGCCTTGTTGAAGTTGTTCAGAGCGGACCTTCATTACAGAGTTATGCCCTTGATTAGTTATGTAGTATGCATATAGAGCAATATTGCTATTTCTTTGCAACTGCTGTATTGATTTCAACAAAATTTTAGGGCAACCATGGATACACAAAGGCAATTTACATCTCTTGTTATGTCCAGATATTACTATTTAACCTTTTACCCCATGAGCATATTGCGAAAAATGGCCGTTTTCATTGAAAAGCCTCCTGTTACAAGTTCAAACTGCTATAAAACTATGAAAAATGCTTCAATACTGATGAAACTTGGCACAAATGTTGACTACACCATGGCCTCTGTAACAGCATGCTCAATCGTAAATTTCCTGTTACCATGGCAACGGGGGACGTCTCAACTGCCAACTTCTCAATGAATTGAGATAGAGTAAAAGGCTTTTCAGCGTCGGTTACTAGTTACCCTAAGATCGACCTGAGGCCATTTTTAGCCTGTCACATGTCCAAAATTTTCTTGGCGATGAGGGGGACTCCGAACCCCTTCAAACCCCCCAAACAGAATGGGGCACATCCCCCTTCTGGCAACCCCCAGATGTAACATTTGGATGGGGGACGGTGCCGAAAAAGTGGTCACTTTTTAGCTCACCTGTCACAAAGTGACAGGGTGAGCTTTTGTGATCGCTTTTCGTCCGTCGTCCGTCCGTCCGTCCGTCCGTAAACTTTTACTTTAAATGACATCACCTCATAAACCACTAAGCCAATTTCATCCAAACTTCACAGGAATGTTCCTTTGGTGGTCACCTTTAAAAATTGTTCAAAGATTTAATTCCATGCAGAACTCTGGTTGCCATGGCAACCAAAAGAAAAAACTTTAAATATCTTCTTTTAAAAAATCATAAGAGCTAGAGCTTAGATATTTGGCATGAAACATCTTCTAGTGAGTGTCTACCAAGTTTGTTCAAATAAAAGCCCTGGGGTCAAAATTGGCCCCGCCCCGGGGGGTCATTGATTTTCCCTATATGCATATAGTAAAAACTTAAAAATGCTTCTTTTAAAGAACCCAAAGAGCTAGGGCTAAGATATTTAGCATGAAACATGTTCTAATGGGTGTCTACTAAGTTTGTTCAAATAAAAGCCCTGGGGTCAAAATTGGCCCTGCCCCGGGGGGGTCATTGATTTTCCCTATATGCATATAGTAAAAACTTAAAAAACCTTCTTTTAAAGAACTCAAAGAGCTATGGCTAAGATATTGAGCATCAAACATGTTCTAATAGGTGTCTACCAAGTTTGTTCAAATAAAAGCCCTGGGGTCAAAAGTGGCCCCGCCCAAGGGGGTTAATGATTTTCCCTATATGCATATAGTAAAAACTTAAAAAATCTTCTTTTAAAGAACCAAAAGAGTTAGAGCTAAGCTATTTAGCATGAAACATGTTCTAATAAGTTTCTACCAAGTTTGTTCAAATAAAAGCCCTGGGGTCAAAATTGGCCCCGCCCCCGGGGGGTCATTGATTTTCCCTTTATGCATATAGTAAAAACTTAAAAAATCTTCTTTTAAAGAACCAAAAGAGTTAGAGCTAAGCTATTTAGCATGAAACATGTTCTAATAAGTGTCTACCAAGTTTGTTCAAATAAAAGCCCTGGGGTCAAAATTGGCCCCGCCCCGGGGGGGTCATGGATTTTCCCTATATGCATATAGTAAAAATTTAAAAAAATCTTCTTTTAAAGAACTCAAAGAGCTATGGCTAAGATATTTAGCATCAAACATGTTCTAATAGGTGTCTACCAAGTTTGTTCAAATAAAAGCCCTGGGGTCAAAATTGGCACCACCCCGGGGGTCATTGATTTTCCTTATATGTGTATAGAAAAAACTTAAAAAATCTTCTTTGAAAAAACCCAAATAGCTAGAGTTAAGATATTAAGCATGAAACATCTTCTAGTAAGTGTCTTCAAAGTTTGTTCAAATAAAAGCCCTGGGGTCAAAACTGGCCCGGCCCCAGGGGTGTCATTGTTTTAAACTATATATGTATAGTAAAAACTTTAAAAAAATCTTCTTTTAAAAAGCCCAATGAGCTAGAGCTTAGATGTTTAGCATGTCTACCAAGTTTGTGCAAATAAAAGCCCTTGGGTTAAATTGGCCCTGCAACGTTGGGGGGAGATGGGGGTGGGGGGCCTATATACAGGTGAGCGACCTCAGGGCCATCATGACTCTCTTGTTTAAACAACATTTCTCAAACGATAACCAGTGTTTGGGGCCTAAATAGGGCATTTTTTCACTGTTTGAGGTCTCAAGGGGGGGGGGGCAAAAAGCCGTCGAAACACGCTTATATGAGGGAAAAGGTTAACACAGAGTTATGGCTCTGTTATTGCCCTGTACAAAGAATATTTCTGTTTATGCCATGATAAATATATAATAAACCCTTATGTCTTCAGTTGTCGTGTTAGTAATAACCAGTACTTGGCAGGGGATATAAATTCAACGAATTTGCTTGTTCAAATAAAAGCCCAGGGGGTTGTTGATTTTCCATATATGTATATAAATAAAAAAACACACACAAAAAAGATATTCTTTTAAAAAACCCAAAGAGCTAGAGTTTAGACATTAAGCGTGAAATTTCTTCTAATGGGTGTCTACAAAGTTTGTTCATATAAAAGCCCTAGGGTCAAATGGCCTCGCCCAAGCGGGTTATTGATTTTCCTTATATCTATATTGTAAAAACTTAAAAATCATCTTTAAAAAACCCCAAAGAGCTAGAGCTTAGATATTTAGCATGAAAAATCGTCTAGTTTGTGTCTACCAAGTTTATTCAAATAAAAGCCCTTGGGTGAAAATTGGCCCCCAGGGGGTCATTCATTTTTACTTATATATTATGTACACATCTTATCGAACTGTTGTTTTCCTATAGCAATAGCAAGCAATAATGATTTTACACATGCACTTTTTAGATACAAATATGAACTTTGTGATATCAGTTTAGGATTTAGATTTATATCTGCTTTTGTTTATAGTTTCTATATTACTTGTTCCTTGTCATGGAGAGTTACTATGTTCAGGTGAGCAATTTCAGCGCCATCATGGCCCTTTTATTTAAAAATCCTGCCTTAGGGGTCAATTTGGTCCTGGCTTGGAAATCACTCGATTTCGGATGGTCTTGTACAGAAAATAATATTCGATTTAAGGTTTAAATTAAACTATGTGTGCAGGATGTTAACAGACCATCGCTTGTCAAATGAAATTGTAACGGTAACAGATTACCATAAAATATGTAGAGACCGTGATCAAGCTAAACTTTTAACACTGACCCAAACAAAACAGTATAGGATTGTATTTGATAAGAGAGTAAGAGATGGTTGTGTGTCTTTTCCATATGGCTATTGAAGAGTTATTGTATCATTACTGTAATCAAAATGTCAATGTTATGATAATAAGATATGAATAATGTATCATTGATTGTTGTCTTTTATTACTACTATAACGTCATTGTTTTACATATCATATACTACAGTGGTAAGAGATTAGAAAAGCTATAGGATTGGACCTGTTAAGTAAATTGTCAAGCAAAGTATGAATTATCATGAAAATGACTTTTCCAGACAAAACAAATCCTCTTGAAAATTGACTGCACCTAAAATCAAAATCCAAGATTGCTACTTTATATAGACAAAGAAGGAAAAAAGTGGCCTCCACTACTAGATGGGTTTTCACGACCGCCTCCGCATTAATTGATTGAACGATTTAATGTAAACCATATTTTCATACGAGTTTAAAGACAAACGGATGCAATAACTGTTAACTTTGGACGAATTAGTATCCTGTAATTTGCCTCTTTATATCGTGTCCCGTTCTGTTCTGTCCATTGCCTTTCAGTTGGTCCTTTTTTGTGAATGTTAAAGGGACAAACAGCGTTGTTTGAATCTCTCTCTCGCATATCTTTGTACTCTTTCTTTCACTACTATAATGTGATAATTAAATTTCTACATCACGATATGGATTTGACACTGAAAATGCATGTATATACTTACGTGCTCCGAATACATAAAGAGTATAATAAAATAACTAAAAGTTTGACCCAATGTTTTTTTCCCTTCAAAATTATTTCATTTCAAAATTATGTAGAAGAGAAGTAAATAAGCTTGAATATTATGATCACATATTTAGTTATTTGTTCTATTTGCATTTCAAAAATGCCTCAATGCTATCGTCATAGTTTAGCATAAATGGAGTATTTTGTTTCGGGTCTATTGCATCAGTATGTGTGCTTGCATAACATTGATCCCTGTATTTTGCAAGTCCAAACTCCTTTCTGTCTTTGACCAATTTATTGAGAACTTCTTCATTTTTCTCAATATTACTATGGTATCCTGATAATTCAGCCAGGTGTGCTATTAATTCAGTTTGGAAATGAAGCACTTGTGATTCGGAAGTGCAGGCATTTGCCCGTTTAATCCATTGTTGACTATTGGCTTGCATCTCTTTCTTTTCCTTTGGTTCATCTTCCAATTGACCCATAATGTATCTGAAAGATAACGCTTAAACGGTTGTGTTTGTGCATAACACTTAAAACAACGGTTATCATAATTGTTTAACAAAGTTCAACTCCTACGGTAAAGCAGTTTATTCGATATCTGTTAATTGTTAGGTTATTCCTTATCTTGTACCAAAAAATTATTACAGAATACCGTGAATGAGATAACTTTGTCAGTATACATAATCTAAAGCGAGTGGGGCATGCATGAAATCATTACCAAACCTACAAAATATTGCAGCAGTATTGTTTGTTTCGGAAAAGAAATCTGTTAATGTATATGATATTCATGTTACACAATATTTCAAAAACGATCATAAGCATATGAAAACAACTTTTTTTAATGTATTTAAATTCTTACAAAATATTTCATCAGATATAGCATTATACACTTTAATGAATATACCATTGCAATAATATATGCTAGATAACATTCCTTTGAGTATTCTATGCCAAACACCACCACACCTTTAATAAAATACATCCCATAGCTTTATATTATATTATAGAAAAGAGACATTGTATGGATTTAAATTAGAAAAATGTTTTTGAAGAAATCATGCTTACCTGCAAGTCCAGCTTGCCATAACTTCAAAATATGCAAATGAGTTGAACTGTTCAAGGGTACCTATATAAAATAAACGATTGTTTCCCTCCTTATAAAACAATGTTGCTTTGTACAGCCCTTCCGGATAAGGGTGTGTCTCCTCCGGTATTCTAAATTTGTCTTCCAGGAAAGGAAAATAGTTTCTGTACCCTGTAGTTAATATTACAGAGTCAATTTCAGCAGAGGCCCCATCTTTGAAATATGCTTTATTCGAATCAAACCGTTCAACAATTGGTCTTTCCTCAATACCCTCTGGCATAATGCAGGTGTCTCCTTTTGGCCTTGTTCTATATGCCATAATCACATGCTTCGCGCCAAATTTCAAACATTGCAAAAGAATATCTTCGCCGGTATATCCAGCTCCTATCAACAACACCCTTTGTCCAGAAAATTCCCTTGGATTTCGAAAGTCGTGCGAATGTAAAATACGACCTTTAAACTGTTCCATTCCAGGAAATTCAGGCAGATTAGGAAAACTGTAGATTCCGGATGCCACAATAACATGAGTAAATGTTTCTTCTAGTGTCTTGCTTGTGTTATAATCGTTGACAATGACGGTAAAGTCATCTTTGTCGTCATTGTACTTCACATATCGGACAGCAGTATTAAAATGTATATAGTCTCTAAGGTTTCGTCCATGTGCAACCGCCTTTGTAAAACGACCTTGAATGAAAGACATACAGTAATAATTAATAATAATATCATCAGAAAATGATTCAGATATTGAAAACGACTTTAATCAACATTTGTATTATGTTAGGTGGAGCAAAGTTTTTTTTTAAGTCACAAGTTTAACTCGCATTTGTTTATTGGCAGGGTATTTTTTCTCTGTTTAAATTTTTCTCCTGATATATAGTTACAGACCAATAAATATATACTGGTCGATGAACACAGTTCATAAAAAACTATGACTTGTGTAATTTTGTTTCAAACAAATGATTACTTTATTTGATAAATGTATATCAATTGTAAAAGTATAAAGAATATTTATAGTGCTTTATTTGTAATGTCTTTATAAAAGATGTTTTAAGCTTCGATTACAAAAGGCATGAAAATGCCATAAAAGATGCATTACTTATACTGCGTTAAACACTTCATCAAAAATGCAAAAATGTTGATATATCTTTACAGTCACTTATCTGCAAGTATTTTCTACAGCTTCAAATTTGATTTTCCATGCAATCAAGAATAACTAGGAGGTACGGTGGCATAAAAGTGACATTTGCAAATTTATTTTTCGTTTAGTTTTTGTGCCCCCACGTTAGTGGCGGGCATTTAGATTTACCCTTGTCCGTCCGTCTGTCCGTCCTTCCGTCCGTCCGTCCGTTCACTTTTGTGTCGCACGTAACTCAAAAAGTATTTGACCTAGAGTCAAGAAACTTTACAGGAATGTTGATCAGCATGTGTAGTTGTGCACCTGGGTATTTTCGTCTGGATATTTTTGGTATTTTCAGAGTTAGTGCCCTTGACTTAGTTAAATTTTGCAATTTTCAACTTGTGTCGCATGTAACTCAAAAAGTATTTGACCTAGAGTCATGAAACTTTACAGGAATGTTGATCAGCATGTGTACTTGTGCACCTGGGTATTTTCGTCTGGATATTTTTACTATTTTCAGAGTTATTGCCCTTGACTTAGTAAAATTTTGCAATTTACAACTTGTGTCGCATGTAACTCAAAAAGTATTTGACCTAGAGTCATGAAACTTTACAGGAATGTTGATCAGCATGTGTACTTGTGCACCTGGGTATTTTCGTCTGGATATTTTTAGTATTTTCAGAGTTATTGCCCTTGACTTAGTAAAATTTTGCAATTTTCAACTTGTGTCGCACGTAACTCTAAAAGTATTTGACCTAGAGTCATGAAACTTTACAGGAATGTTGATTAGCATGTGTAGTTGTGCACCTGGGTATTTTAGTGTGGATATTATTAGTATTTTCAGAGTTATTGCCCTTGACTTAGTAAAATTTTGCAATTTTCAACTTGTGTCGCAAGTAACTCAAAAAGTATTTCACCTAGAGTCATGAAACTTTACAGGAATGTTGATCAGCATGTGTAGTTGTGCACCTGGGTATTTTCTTCTGGATATCGTTAGTATTTTCAGAGTTATTGCCCTTGAGATAGTAAAATTTGGCAATTTTCAACATGTGTCGCACGTTACTGAAAAGTATTTCACCTAGAGTCATGTAACATTACAGGAATATTGATCAGCATGTGCAGTTGTGCACCAGGTATTTTCGTCTGGATTTATTTAGTATTTTTAGAGTTATTGCCCTTCACTTCAATTTTTGCAATTTTCAACTTGTGTCGCAAGTTTCTCAAAAAGGATTTGACATAGTCATTAAACCTTATAGGCAGGTTGCTCAGCATATTTTAGATTTGCACCTGGGGTTTTGCTTGTGGATTTATCCAGTATTTGTAGAGTTATTGCCCTTGAATTAGTAAAAAGATTGACAGAACAGTGGCGCGGCGGGGGCACCCGTGTCCTATGGACACATTTCTAGTTGATACTTATTTTTTTTTCGTACATATTTTTTTTTATTTGCATACATATTTTATTTTAGTTTTGATTACATATTTTTTTTTAGTTTTGCATACATATTTTATTTTAGTTTTGATAACATTTTTTTTTTTTTAGTTTTGCATACATATTTTTTTTTAGTTTTGCATACATATTTTATTTTTGTTTTTCGTACATATTTTAGCCAATCAAAACAGCCTTCACATCTCATAACAGCCCATAGATGAGAAAAAACACGGTAACAATAGTAGCACAGTGGTTTGGTCACATTTGGAAAGGGCTGATTGGTGATCAGTTATTATTCCATGAATATGCACCACTCAACCCTACACCCTGAGAATAGCGGCGGGGGTGCATTTACTTAAATAGATAAATACAGAATCCCTAAAGAAAGCCCAACACGGCAAAATTGAAAATGTTGCAGGCTCGGTTTGATTGAGCCTGTTCATGGACGGTACTGTCAAGTGCAAGTTACCGTCCACGCCCCCTAGCACCGGCTTAAGCAGAATTCAACATTTAACATGAACTGGTAAAATTTAGAATTTTGAAACATCCGCAGATGTGTTCATATGGCGGTTATCATGGAACCTTCAATGTGACACGTTAGTGCCATTCCATGAAAAGCGGCATATGGTCCCCAAGTAAAAAATGCGTGTGCCCTAAACGAGAAAACAATGGGCGGAACTAAATAAAATGGAATTTTGAAAGGGGATCTGAGTTATGATGCCTGCGTATCACAGATAAACGTCAAAAGACAATTTAAAAAGCAGGCAACATATCCTAAGGGTGATTCAACATTATTCAAGTAGGAATAATGGAACCACCCAACTAGAAAATGCCAAAAAAGTTGAAACTAAAAATACCACAAGCACAACAATAATGTCGTGCTGAACGATCTTCAAGGATCGAAAATATAACATCATTGATTAAATGTACGGGAGACTTTTTACAGCCGCCACACGGCACAAATAACACGGATGTGATCATAAAATAGATAAATACAGAATCCCTAAAGAAAGCCCAACACGGCAAAATTGAAAATGTTGCAGGCTCGGTTTGATTGAGCCTGTTCATGGACGGTACTGTCAAGTGCAAGTTACCGTCCACGCCCCCTAGCACCGTTAAAACCATTAAGCCGACCTCTGGTACAATATTCGCCCTGTGGGGGATACTCAGATAATAACATTCTTGCCTTATGCCCCGGAACAGCGCCGTTAAAACACAATTCTTTTTTTAACCCACACTCCCCCGGGGTGAGGGAGGCGGTTAAAAATGACTGGTGTATTACAATAATTAATGCACAATAAAAGATCTAAATAGGTCCTTATAATCCCACTGGTTTAGAAAAAATACTTAAACCTTTGAGCGATTTTTATGAAACATGGATCAATTGTTTAGCACATCCGCGAAGAGTTTGAAAATTGTGATTTACAAATGGCGTAACTATCCAAACCTCTACTTTGAAAATGGCGTCATGTAAAAATATGTACAAAAAAATGAAATAAATGTATGTACGAAAAACTAACATAAAATATGTATGCAAAACTGAAATAAAATATGTATGCTAAACAAAAAAAAAATATGTATACAAAACAAAAAAAAAAACAAAAAATGTACGAAAAACAAAAAAAATAAGTATCAAAAACAACACGAAAATGCAAATGTCACTTTTATGCCACTGTAAGGTGGCGATATTTCTTAAAACATGTTTAAACTTATTATTTATAGCACAGAAACGTTACAAACTTTTCTAACTAATCATTTATAGCACAGAAACATTACAAACAAGAATGAAGCATCCCGAATTGAATCAAAGTGCTGCAGCACTGAATGCGACGGACATGCAACCGGGGAGACTTTTATGGTTTTTTTAAAAAAAAAAATAAAACACAAAATATATAACAGAGAAAATTTGTTCCATACAAGGAGCAATATATTTTGTGTCCCAATCTGATATAATCCAGATTTTCTACTTTCAAGCAGAATGAAATATATGCCTAAAACCCTGGTCAAACTTGTAAATCAGTGTCATTATCGATTTATTCCAAGAAATGATATGTAAATGGACAAAAAACTTTCAACGACATATTTCTAAAATAAAACCATGCAAATAGACTTCAAGCATAATATTATACCAGGGATAAATCCGTGATTATACATGTGAGAATGTTATTTAGAATTGCTTCGTGTTTTAACATAGTGGGCATATAGACAATAAAATATAAGTCATTTGTATTTTTATTTCTTTTGGATATGTACGTCTCATTAAAACTATTTTTGGTTAAAATCATCAGCAATTAATAGTCACCGTATTTTTTAGATTTTTTTTATTTGCAAGGGCCAGAGCACATCGTTTTTATTTTAATCTAAATGTCACAATTTTTTTTTAAAGCACTATAGTGTTTAGTTGTCCCTTTCATTTTCACACTAAATTACATTTTCAACTTGTTTGCTTCTTACAATTGTATAGAATTTCTAAAAGTATTGCATGTGAACAAAGTAAGTATCCGCTGGTTTATAACATGTATAATGTGTACAGTACTCCCTACTGTCCGAAAATCAGCACAGGTAAAGCAGAATCTATTTTTAGAATAGCGAAGGTTAACTCATATCGTGACCTAGAAAATGTATCTAATTTATTAATAACTGCTGAATATTCAGCTAAACCCGCGGTATGAGTCACGAAAATAGTTCTTCTTTTATTAATGCGCGAGTTATTCTAGAGTCCAAAAAACTTTTGATTTGTTAATAATAATGTTTTGTATGATGTAGAAATATTTATTTCCTACTAATAATTTCTTGGAACTCAGAGCTTACACCTTTATTATAGTATAATTTGCTGTCCTACTTTTTCGACAGCGGTAAATCGTTTCGGCAGTAATTTGCATAATTGCGCAATAATACTACGGGACTACAACGTTTTTATCAATCATATACGTCCATATTTTAACTTGGATAACTTAATTTGAAATTGAAAAGGCTAAATATGGAAGATTTTAAGATATCCCGACATAGTATGGGAGTTTTAAAGGATCAAATTCATGTACTTTTTCTTGGGCTGTTAATCGGTTGAGGACACTTTGCGCGAGTGTAGCAGACGAAATCCCATGTAGATGACTTAGCTCTGAACGCGCCTGAGGGCGCGTCCGTCGCAAAAATGTAAGAAAACTAAACTTAACCAAGCCTTGTGTATGAATCTACTGGTCTTTTCATTAAATGATTCTAGAAATGTTAAATAAAAAATATTACATTAATACCTTCGAGATAGTCTCTCATCGCGGCACGAGGAGGAAATGACGGAGTTTGCTGACCAAAGTGCTGCTCAAACGGGTAATCTGGGTACTGATGTGACTCATATGGACCATTACACCACATATGATGGTACTGACTTGTATGAATAGGTTCTCCGTTCTCGTCCAGACCTTCAAATACAGAAGTTTAAACTTTTTTTCTTCGTGTCAAATTGTCAGATAAGTCATCTTTTCTCATATGTAAGTTTTGAATTTGATATTTTTCATAAATAACATATACATATATTCATATGTAGAACTATATTCTAAAAATGGCGGGATTGAAGACGCAACTGTATACAATTTGGTCGGACTGCATGGAAATGGGCGTCGCCAAGATGCTGAGCTTTTGAAGTGTTCGACGAGATAAAAGCTGACAAAATATATTTATTTCACAAATTCCACATGAAAATTTTCATTACAAATGGTTCTCGTGTTTCTGGAAAATCTTTAAATATCTTTGTAAATGGGGTTTCGAATTAAAAACACGTAGGTCAATGTGATTTTATTAAGAACCATAGTAGAAATCATTACGGTAATAATTGCACTGAAACTTTTCCATATTTGATGACAAACTCAAATAAATACTTTTCAACATAATATTGATTTTGAAAGGCATAATTTTCACATAAAATCATTTGGTTAATTGTCGACATGCGAAGAGTCGACCTAATTCTGTTTTACTTTTTTAACACCAGCCATATATCGAACATTAGCCAACTCTTGAAGCTATAAAGTAAATATGTTAGAATTTATATAGTCATATCATCATCAATTAACAGGATGATAAAAAAGAATCACCTGTTTTCCAAGAAACGTTCCATAAACCCATCCACGTCCGCTGTTTCTCGTAACAAACAATTTCCGGCATCTTCTCCATTTTAGCGAAATGAAACAATGTCGACAAACCGGACGGTCCGGCACCAATCACACAAATCCTTGGTTTCGACATGTCTTAGAAACTGAAGCAACTACTTAAAACCAAGACAATATTACACTCAGGTATTTTTTTATATCAATTGTCATATAGAACTCAACCTTTTGAAAGTAATACTACGTTAAGGCTAGTGAAAATTAGGTTAGCAAGATGAAGGTTATGATTATGTAGGTGAAGTAAAGAGGTCAATGACATCTTTATCAATGAGTTCATTTTGTCTGCGTGTTTACCTTTATTGATTCACCTCAAATAAACCTTTAGTGTCAAACTTTATTTGTCATTCAATGAAAACGCTGTACTTCTAAAAATATTTGTGCGTTTATTTTCATAGAAGAACAATTTTAAGTCGATACTATATCAAATTTCGTTCAGAGTCGACTTCTATTTTTCATAAAATAGTCATTTACATAAATTTGCACATGCGCTTTTGTGGGCCGCTTTTGAATATTAATTAAGCAAAAAATCAGCATACATTAATTTTGCATTATTAAATACAGGATATGCAGTTCAGATTTGAGTCCACGTCCCATGGTCCTAGTGAAAAAGATACTGTACGTGTAAAAGTAAAAATCAATATAAAATGTCAGTTTATTACGAGTGATTATGTAGGAAAAGGGAAAGTCACGTGTGTCTATTCGCTTAGACAGAAAGTGAAAGTAGACATTATGTTTTTGGAAAATACATTACATGCATGCCCAGTTGATTTTGGTTTTACACATGACATTTATAGTGAATGCATGAATAAATCATATCAGACATTAGCCACTGAGTATCAATTGTCTAGAGGTGTCATCGATTCAATCGATATCGGTGTATTCAAATTGTTCAGTTTTCATAGTTTATCTTTTTTGCATTTGTCTATATATAACTGCTTTGTCAGTGTCCTTCGGAAACATTTAAAAAGACTTGAAAGCTAAAATTTAGCCTGGCAATCGATATATCGCTGTATCGCCGATAATTCATTACCAATGTATCGATACAAAAATCCTTTTCGATGACACCTCTACAATTGTCCAACTCCAAAATGTGTGTCGAATCTCAGGAACTTGAAATTCTATCAATATTTACGATAATATCCAAAATATTACCCCTATACAGTATAAATAAATTTATTTATACTGTATAGGGGGTATATATTTTTTTTTTTTTTTTTTTTTTTTTTTTTTTTTTTTTTTTTTTTTTTTTTTTTTGGG